GTGTAAATCAAGGAGAACTTGATTATTTTTTCCCATTAAAATGCTCAAAGTTTAGGGGAGGAAAGTGAATGAGATTCTGCTATACCAGGTGTGAAAAAGCAGAAGGGACCAAAATCTATTCTTGTGCAAAAATCTGTTCTCCCTGAAGTCAATAAGGCTACACAGGTGTAACTGTCAGCAGGAATTGGCCTGTGTTCTCATTCCCTTCTCAAATCACACACTTCAATGCTTACCCAACATTTTCCACTTGGGAAAGAAGTTAGTTTGAATTGGGGCAGAAAAATGAGGACTACTTCAGGTTTATTTAGCTTTAAGTATTTGGAATGAAACTCAAAAGAAATCAAATGTGAGGTGCTTTTATGATGGATTGAACTGCTGGAGAACCAGCAAATAGACAGAACCTGCCTTTTGCTTATTCAGCCAGTATTTCTATCATAGCCTGCTAAGAAGTGGATTTAAAATCCTTGAGAGAGAGGGGAGGGAGAAATGTACAACATTGTGTGTTGAGCTTCCTCCAGTGCTTTTGCAGCCCCTTAAAAGTACAGAGATGCACTGGCCTGTGGAACTAGGCTGAGCATAAGGAAAGAACTTGGTTGCCTGTGCATCCCAGTACAGAAAAATACATCCAAGAAAAAAATTGAATTTCTTTGATTTTTAGAACAGTTCAATACAGTATTGAACACAGTGCATCATCAATCTGAAGCCCCTCGATGGAAAGTACTATAAAAGTTAAAGTACTGGTATCCAAAATGAGATGTTTTGTTTTGTTTTCTCTACAGGTGTGTGGGAATTCATTACTTATACATGGGAGAAGCAAGAGTTCTGGCTGGAGCTGGACAGAATGTGGGCAGGTTCTGTGCAAGCTTCTCACCCTACCGCTCTGGTACTGCCTCTTCCCCTGCCACTCCCTTGCCCTGCCACCCCCAGGCACTCACCAGTTGTCCAGAAACAGGACCCAGCACACATAGAAGATGATGGTTATGGGCACTAGGATCCAGGAGGCAGCGTCCTGGAGCTGCCTGCCAGCCTCAGCCCAGGAGAGGGATAGAGGGAGCTTCTTCCCTCCCTGACAGCTAAGCAGAGCTTTGGAGAAATCAGGGGTGGAGGGTACTGAGGATGGGGACAATGCCTGCTCAAACTACACCCAAGGCAGGGCTTCCCATGGTAACCGGATTTTTAGTATCCGGTCACCAGTGGATACCTGACAGTGTGTTCTTGCAGCACAGGGAGACACGGGCGGGAGGGAGCAGAAGCAGCAGGCTGCCGACTGAGCTCCTTCCAAGCTACAGGGAGCTACTTTGCCTTTCCTGCTGGCAGGAGCGCTCCGGCAGGGCTGCGTGAACAAGCTCGCTCCCCCTCACCCAGGAGCGCTGCCAGATTTTCTACTGCCCTACGCGGCGGAAGGGCCCACCCTGAAATGCCGCCCCCCACAGAGGCAGCGGAAGGTCCTGCCGCTGAAATACTGCCACGGTCGCCGCCCCCCAAATTGTAGCGCCCTAGGCGACCGCCTAGCTCACCTAATGGGTTGCGCCGGCCCTGCCCTCACCCAGCCCCGGCCATGCCCCCTGCCTGACCATACCAAAAAGCAAACAAAGAACTGCAAATGTATTATTATATTTAAAACATATTTTAAAACTGGGCATGACTTGGGGGTGGGGGGAATTTGGGTTACCAGCCCTCCAGGATTTTCCTTGAGTCTCCAGGAATTAAAGATCAATCTTTAATTATAGATTATGTCATGTGATGAAACCTCCAGGAATACGTCCAACCAAAACTGGCAACTGTAGCGGGGAGAGAGGAGGAACGACACGCCTGACTCATGCTTTTCTAATATTTGGAGCTGGCAATACTGCCAACTATGTATTTCTGAGTCCCACCCCATGCTTGGATTTAAGTGTCTCTCAAGTATTTAAAACTAGAAAGACTGGGCCCGAAATCAATATTTAGTTTTTCCCTTTCGGCGCAGCATTATATCTGGAGCAATTCCCTGGGAAGGCAGCGTTGCTGGTTCATTCTGTGTCGGCTAAACTCTATTGATTTTGCTGTAGTCAAATTAACTGTAGCATAATTACTCGATATTTAACAGAAATGAAGGTATCACAGATAACAGAGGTCGATGTCTGTTATTACAGCATTATTACTCTTTGAGGGCACTTGTTATAGGACATTCATTTTGCCCATGACAAAGATGGGCGCCAGCGTGCTCTGTGATTAATATATTACCTCAAAAGGGAACAGTGCCCAAATCCAAAATGCCCGACACACCCTCGCCACTGGTGCCCACCTCTAAGATGGCCGCCACGCGTTCTTCCTCCGCCTCAATAGTCGGTTGGCTTCCCCAATCCAAGATGGCTGCCCAGCGCGGAGGAAAGCGGCGCTCTAGCGCGGCCAGCTCTGTGGTGGGAGCGGAAGCCTTTTCTTTCCGTGCCTCCCCGCCCTCTGGGTTCTCTATGATTACCCTGCTCTGGTCTCCAATAGGAGGCGTGGGGGAGCTCGAGGCCCCGCCCAGAGCCTGATCAGCTGATGGCTGGCAATGTCTGTTGACAGCAGCAGCCTCCGCGGCAGGACTGGGTGTAAGAGGCTGGCGCGGGGGGAGTGGATCGCTGCGAACCCCCCAAGTCCCCCTGGGCTGGGGGAAGGGCGGTGAGCGGGAGGGACGTTGGGGAGGGAGGAGAGGAAGGACGGGGCCCTGGCAGCAGCCCCAGCCTGGCTCCTGTGTGTCTCACCCTCAGGGCTGTGAGAGGCCTTGGAGGGCCAGGCTCCGAGGGTGGCCCTGCTTGCCCTAGAGAGGGAAGGAGCGGGGAGTAGACTGCAGAGACTTCAGCCCACACACTAGAGCAATGCAGGAGAGCTGGGGCTGGTGTGTGTGCAGGTGTCTGAGGGGCGGCTGCTGCTGCTGCGGGGGAGGGAGAGGTCGGTCTGGAAATAAAGAGATGAGAGGGGAAGTGATGGCTTGGGACAGAGAACAGACAAGAAGGGGGAGAGGGATGGGGCGAGGAGAGAAGGCGGGGAAAGAGAAAGATAATCGGTAGTGAAAGCTGCGAGAGGAAGAACAGATGGGGGAGAAAGGTAGGAGGGCTGGGGAGAGAAACTGTACTGTTTCCAAGTGAAACTTTTCTCGTGTGTCTTTTGATTATTTTTTTTTAAATCAGATGTGAATCCAAATGGAGCACTCTGAAGGAGGAGACCAAAACCAGCAGCAACAGCCTTGGGGGAAGCTGATCCGGTTAGGTGCTGATGAAGCAGAGCCCCATGTGTTACTGCTGAAAAGAGAATGGACAATTGGGCGGAAAAAAGGTAAGATGGTGTGTGATTTGCAAGAGGTCGGACTAGGTGATCATAGTGGTCATTCTGGCCTTAAAAATATATGAAGATGAACTCTGAAACATGACAGGTATGTTAGTATCTGGTGGGAGGATAAGGTGGAGGTAGGATAGAAGAGGCCCACCTCAATGCTTGCCACAAAATCCCTTGTTCCCTACTCTAGCATTTCCATGAGAGAAAAGTTGTGCTCTCTCCCTGTCTTTGGCTTTCTTTTTTAATGGGATTCCTGGTGATATCACAAACACCCAATCCCGTGAATTTGTCTTGATGATTTCCCTGATTGTTTCTGTGCAAATAAAAAAGCACTGCATTTCAAACCAAGTTTTGTCAGGTCATACCCATTTTGTCACCACTCTTTCCTTTAGCTCTTGTGATTTAAAAAAAAAAGTGTGTGTGTGGGGGGGAGGATCTGCAATGCAACATTTTCACACTTTAACACACACCTACAATCCAAAAAGCCTTAATTCTTCTGGCTGCATGACGGTTGCTAACATATTAAAATCATTTCTATGAGAGTTGATTTGAAATGCAAGTGTTTCTGTGTCTAAAAGTGTTGACTATTTGATTTTATTTTAAGGGAATTCCATGTTTAAGGCAAATTATTCACTTAACCTTGCACTGTGCCATCTGGCACTAACTTTAGGTTGCCTATCATCAACTCAGTGCATATCATGTTGTAGCACCCAGCATCAATGAAAGTATATTATAGTTTATAGACTCTATATGGTCAGTCAAAATGGAATTCATGGACCATATTATAGGGAAAATCTAAGTATCTTTTGTCTGTTAAATTCAGTACCATATATTTGTTGCCCTTTTTGATGACTGTATTGCTAAATATGACTAATAACAAACAAGATGTCCACACTAGGAAATCTTCTAGTTGAATTTCAGTGGGCCTACATGGCAGATAAAGATTGACTTTTGCCTGCTGAATTGCTCTCATAATCATTTAACAGTTAGATTACTAAAGTGTTCAGTTAGAAAAATACATAACCAAAATTTGCCATCTACTCCTCAGCAAAATATTGTTGGCACCATTATCCTATTAGAAAAATATGTGAGGTTCTGGAAAAACTCATTTAGTCCATGCCGTTCCCCTCTTCTTCCTGGCCCTTACACTATATTCCAAGAGCCGCAAAGAGTAGATGGGGTACACCAGTGCGGAAGTGCTGAACTACTTCTGAATGAAACTACGGCGTTCTAGTCACTTTCAGCAAGAATCACACGATCATGAAGTTGTGCAGCACAAGTTCTACTCTGTAGCTGTTAGTTGTCCCATGGGCATCAGTTGTGGAAAAATAGCGGTAAACTATTATCAGGGGGTGTGGTGGGTGACTTATTTATTTCTAGATGTCTCTCTGCCCTGTCTAGGGAGGATTGAATGTGCTGGGAAATAATCCAGGACCAGGCTATGAATGGGAGGATATGAATCATGTTCCTTATTATGGCCCCTCTTACAAGGGAAGTGTTGTTGCAAGATGGAATAGTGTCTTATGTGTGAAGTCTTGAATATGGTTGGGAAGGAGGGATTAAGGTAGTGTCAAAATGGTGATGGTTGCTCAGAACCCTAGAATGGGTGGGCAGGTTCCCATCATCCCCCAAATCATTAATACTCCTGCCTAATGGCAGTGAACTGCACTAGATTTTAAATTTTCTGTCTTTAATAATCTAAAAATGGTGCTAACACATGTAAGAAAATCTTGTTTTTAAAAGAAGAGTTGTAAGTGGACTGATCAGTCTCTGTGATGGGATCTGCCTATATAAATATTCATGAGATATTTATAAACATATTGATCATAAACATTTTCTTTTTAAGGTTGTGACTTGTCCTTTCCTGGCAACAAACTGGTGTCTGGAGATCACTGTAAGATTACAGTGGATGAAGAATCTGGACAAGTATCATTGGAGGATACCAGGTTAGCCCTGCTTTAAACTTTTATTACTGGTTGCTGGAGTAAAATTCTGTTCAGTGCTCATGAAAGGAGTTAGCTGTACATATCACAGAGTAAGTCTCTTATTTTTAAGTGTTAATTTTTTCCAACAATCCCTAAAACTCATCTCCTCTCTCCCCCACGGAATGCGTAGCTTACTGGATGAAAAACAGACTGATGGTGGGGAGTGCCTGGTAGTTTTGTATACTGTGTGTCTTATTATGTGATTGCAATTATAGCATTGTGAAAAAAATTATCAGTGACTTTAGGAGTTTTTAAAAACTGTTCATAGTGAATTAGTATATGGCACACACATTCCTTATACTAGCTCTCTTCCCTACCTCCATCCCCAGCTCCTTGGGTTGGGGAGGAAATACATTTGCACTGATAACTTTAAAAACGTGCAGTGGATAGGAATAGAGATTCATATTTGTTATTCCTTTTGGTGTTTAAAATATCTCTGAAGGTAGCTTGTATTTCATAGGACCTTTGAGGCTTGAAGGGTTATCTGGATTTTGGCTTTATTTATAGTCTGAGCTCCCTTTTGGATCTATAGTAATGAGCACCGTATACGTACTTATGCCTGTTGTATTATGTTTCAAAATGATTTTGTCTCCTCAAGCATTTCAAGTGGAGAGGAGAGAGAGGGGCCTAATAAGTAAAATTATAAGTCAATAAACTCAATTAAATAATTGAAATCGCTCAATACAACATTGTAGCTCTTGATGTTGCCATTAGTCATTTGTTATCAGTAATTTTTTTTTACTTCTTTCCTCTAATCAGTATTTCAGGGAGTATTATGTAGTGATATAATGCTTAAAGGCCCTAATCCTGGAAAGACTTATGTATGTGCTTAACTTAGCTCACGATGAGCAGTCCCAATGAAGTCAATGGAACTACTCCATAGTGCATAAAGTTCAGCACATACGTTTTTGAATGATCAGAGCCAACAAACTTGCTCTTCTGGGAGAGGTTATTTCCTGCTGGGTTACAAGAATGCTGATGAGAGCTTATGTAGTGTTGTTCTAGCCATGTTGGTCCCACGATATTGGAGAGACAAAATGGATGAGGCAATATCTTTAATTGGACCAACTGCTGTTGGTGAGAGACAAGTTTTGAGATACACAGAGCTCTTCAGGTCTGGGAAAGGTACTCTCAGCATCACAGTTAAATGCAAGGTGGAACAGATTGTTTGGCATAAGTAATTAGCATATATTGTAAGAGACTGTTCAAGGTAGAATGGCCCATTGACACCTCTATAGTCATAGAACAAAAAGAGGGGGTTAGTGCTTTACAGCTTGTTGTAATGAGCCATGAATCCACTCTCTGTGTTCAGTCCATGATTTTTAGTGTCTAGCAGAGTAATGCATTTAAGCTCCCAGGCTTATCTTTTGAAAGTGTTATTGTTCAGGTTTCCTTTGAGGAGGAGGACTGATAGGTCAGATATAGAGTGATCGCTTTGTGAAAAATGTTCACCCACAGGTAATAGGATGTTTTTGTCTTGTATCATTTTCTAATCACTACTGAAGAATGCAGTGATTTACTGGTTTCACCCACGTAGTTATTGGGGCATTGTTTAAGTTAGTTGGGATGCATAATCTTTCTTGCCTGTCGCAGGATGTATGGGGGGGCCTAGTCGGCAGTTTCCTCTTCTAAGGCCTGGTCCCCACTAAGCCCCCACTTCAGAGTAAGGTACGCACATTCAGTTACGTTAATAACGTAGCTGAATTCGAAGTACCTTAGTCCGAACTTACCGCGGGTCCAGATGCGGCAGGGAGGCTCCCCCGTCGATGCCACGTATTCCTCTCGCTGAGCTGGAGTACCGGCGTCGACGGCGAGCACTTCCGGGATCGATTTATCGCGTCTAAACCAGACGTGATAAATCAATCCCAGAACATCGATTGCCTGCCGCCGGACCCTCCGGTAAGTGTAGACGTACCCAAAGGCTAAAGTCTCCCGTGTAGCTGCTCTATGCGGACGGGAGAGAGCTCTCCCACTGGCATAATTAAGCCACCCCCAAGAAGTGGCGGTAGCTATGTCGGCAGGAGAGTGTCTCCCGCTGACATAGCGCTGCGCACAGCAGTGCTTTGTAGGTGAAACTTATGTTGGTCGGGGGATGTTTTTTTCATACCCCTGACTGACAAAAGTGCTAGTGTAGACAAAGCCTAAGTCTTCTCTTCCTACCCTCCTGCCATAATATACATTCCCTCTGACCCCTCTACTCACATGCCGGCTCCTACACACACACATATACGGCTTGCTCTCCAGACAGTCATGGAGTAGGAGAGCTCAGGTGGCTAGCTAACAAAAAGGGGCAGCCAGTAGAAGAGAGTAGCTGAGCTAAATAAAACTTTGCTGTCAACATCGCAAGAGTCTAGTTTGTGGAAGGGTGGGGCTAGATGCACTGTTAGCCCCACAGAAAGGCTGCAATCCTAAGTAATGCCTCTCTTCTGCAATTGAGAATGTGGAAGGTTATATTTTCACATATCTGACAAAAAGGAAAAAGGCCTTTTATATATTCTGTCTGTGTATGAGTGAGAGTTGACGTAAAGCATTTTAACCACACATGGAATAGGGAGACAGTCCTACTACTTGTAGAAGATTAAGCTTCTCTTCTCTCAGAATTTGTCTGAGACCTCTGATATTCAAGGCCTGCTGTCAATATCAGCTGAGCTTCATAGAGTCAAACTGGCTGTAAGAAGATATAAACCTAAGCTCAAGAGCCAACAAGGACATGAAGCTCATGTAGATAACACTGTCATTCCCCCATTTACTGTTATAATTGGCTAGGTTTGAAAACGTGCCGAACTGTGTTCCATTACTCAGAATTGTTATTGTGAGCCTACTGTAAAGGGGAAGGCAGTTCTAGAAACATTGCTCTGGTCAAGCTCAGATTTTTCTGTTGAAAACAAATACATTGCGGGAGGCAGCTGGTTTGGGGCAGTTCAGGTGGGTACACTCTCTTCCTGTATTGCAGATAAATCATAAAAAATCAAACCGTATGTGGCATTAGCTCCATACCTGTTTGCTGACATGCTGAGTTATTGGAGACAGAGCAATCCTGACACAGTTTAGAAAGCATTTAGACTTCTCCTCACCCTGCGAGGTGATGAATTGAGAACTTTACAACTACTTGAATAAACTGGTAAGAGAGCAAGTGTTGATACCTGTCTGCCTCAGTAGAATCTGCTTCAAGAGCTGGTTCCTTCTTTTTCTCCCCAGAAAGTGCCTTGGCTAGTCTCTTAGGGCTAGTCGGCACTGGCAATGCTAAAGCGCTGCGGCAGCACTCTAACGTGGCTTGTGTGGTTGCGGCGCAGCGCTTTGAGAGAGCTCTCCCAGCACTCTGAAAAACCCAGCTCCATGAGGGACATAGCTACCAGCGCTGGTGCACTGTCTACACTAGCGCTTTACAGCGCTGAAACGTGCTGCGCTCCGGGGTGTGGTTTTTTTTCACACCCCTGAGCAAGAAAGTTTCAGCGCTGTAAATTGCCAGTGTAGACAAGCCCTTAGTGTTTACTAGAAGAAATAATACTGTATTAGATGACTTAATCAGTTACATTCACGGAACAGTTGGCTTGTCCCAGGGAAAAGCAATTAATTCTTTCTTAAAAACAAAAATTCAAATGCAAAAGTTGACCTCAATCTCATGAGTTTGAAGGACCTTTCCCTGTTCTCCGTTGGGCAGTTTTTGTGTGTAAGTACTCTCACACTTCTTATCAAACTGTCTGTACTGGGCTATCTTGATTATCACTTCAAAAGTTTTTTTTCCTCTTTTTACTTAATTGGCCTCTGAGAATTGGTAAGACAACTCCCACCTTTTCATGCTCTCTATATGTGTATATATATCTCCTCAATATATGTTCCAGTCTATGCATCCGAAGAAGTGGGCTGTAGCCCACGAAAGCTTATGCTCAAATAAATTTGTTAGTCTCTAAGGTGCCTCAAGTACTCCTGTTCTTTTTCCAAATTACACTCTTAACTTTAGGATTGGCCCTTCCAAAGCCAAGAGGCACATTGACAGAATAGTATGGGATAACTTGCACCACTACACCCTACCCAAACGGGAATTGGGTCAGGATACAGAGATTTATATCTCTAGTCTTAAGAAAAGTGATGAGGGATCTTTTATGACCTGGATTCACATTTCATCCAAATTATACCTCTGATAGCAGAGTTTCCTTCTCGTCTCCCTCCAAAACAATATAGCAGGTTGGCATTGGTTTAGTACTGAATCACAAGGAATGTCTGTTAGACTTACTTTCTTCTTCACTTAGAGTGCAATGATTTGTAATGCCTCATAAATACATACATTTAGCCATTTTCCATGTTAGTATGTAAAATATCCATTTTGTGATAGCCTGATACTCCACAAAGTGTATGTTAGACTTCCCTGGTTAGAGCCCTGAAATTGGATATGACACACAAAGGAATGTTACAATTTCCTATATTATTGGCTAAGATCTAATTTTAACCACATTCAGTTTTCTTTAGTGCTTAGCAAAATCTTGGGTGCTTTTCTTTGAGCGATGTGACTTTTTTCTTTCTCTTTCTATTAAACGAATGAATCTCTGTGCCGCTGGACGGGGAGAAACTTTGCCCAAAGATTGCTCATCTGCTGCCCTACCAATTTCCTCATTTGGCTTTAAGGATGATGATTTGGGCCCTGATTCTCCAAATGACTGGTGTAGTCAGAGCTTTGTTCAAGTCAATGGAACTCTGCAGGAGCACAGAGATTCACCTGCATGGAAATGTGTGTGGGATTCAACCCTTGATGTTGATTTGGCAGCAGTTTTGGCATTTTTTTCCCTCCCAGTAGCAAACTTCACTGTTTGATATCCAGGAGTGCACATTTTTCTAATAAGCATTTAACTAAAACACAGTAAAGTCCCTTATGCCCATCTTGGGATTTGACAGTAACTGCTTAATAATTATGTTAAAGGTACTTATAAAACCCTTTGTATTGAATTTTTTTAAGTTCATATATTTGCCCTCATTATGGCAATAAGTCTTGGGGCCAGAAACCTCCTGAAGATCACTAAAAGACATTCTTTATTTTGTCAGATTGAGCTGTTTCTCCTCCTCTCCCCCCCCCCCCCCGCTCCACCTGATATTCATGTACACTTCAAAACAAGACTTGAGACTTTGTGTCTGTGGTTTTGCATCATAGCCAGGGCCGGCTCCAGGCATCAGCTGAGCAAGCTGGTGCTTGGGGCGGCAGATTGTTGGAGGCGGCATTCCGCCCAATCCTAGGGCGGCACGGCTGCTTTTTTTGTTTTGTTTTGTTCTTGTTCTGCTCCGGCCGCCCTGTCGGGGGCGGCGGCGCGGAGAACCAGAGCGCCCTGCAGGGCAGTCCTCTTCCTTCCCTCCCCGTCGACCGGAGTGGAGCCCTCACGGCAGGAGGCGGCGCAGCGGGAGGGGCCGCGTGGCAGCGCCCCTGCTGTAGCCCTGGCCGCCCCCTTCCTCTCTCTCTCCGGCCCGCTCCCTCCCTCCCCCCCCCCCACCCCAACGCCGGTCCCCTTGCACCTGGGCTCCGGCTGCGCCGTCAGGTTTTTTTTTTTGCTTTGCCGTTCTGGCCCCCTGTTTTGTTTTTTGGTTTTTTGGTTTTTTTGCTTGGGGCGGCCAAAAAGCCAGAGCCGTCCCTGATCATAGCGCACATAGACCACTGCTTAAACACTCAGCTATGACTCTTATTTCATTAGAGTAGTGGTTGTGTCCTTCTGTTGAAACTTGTCCAGATCGGTAATGTTGCAAGCAGAGTTGTTCCCTTTGATATTTTGCATGAGTAGCCAGCCCATGATATAACGGTAATCCAAATTAGTGCAATTGTCATTGTATAAAATAATCCCTGAAAATTCTTCTGCATTACTTAAAGGAGACTTGTAAGGTTTCTTTAAAAATTGGGCATTTCCCCTTTTTTTTTGCTGTTTTACTATAATGAAGAAGGCCCAAAAGATTTGGGGTTTTTTGTGTTTGTTTTTTCTGGAGTTTTGCTGGCAGACCTCCAGCAGGTCTCAAAGGTCATTGTGAGCAGTAACACTTGATTGAAGAAGTTTAGTCAGTTTTTTGAATCTTTAACAATGGTTTCCTTGATTCAAAATATTTCTTCGTCATTTAACATGGGTAAATAATAACAAATCAAAAATGTTTTTTTTAACAGTTTGACTAAAATTCCCTTCCCCTCCTAATTGCTCAACTTTCATTCTCTTGACTTTGGTGATGCACTTTGCTGTTTCTCCGGTCATCACAGAGTCTTCCTGCCTAGACAGGATCTGTATTTCTAATGTAAAAAGACAAGGAGAAAATATTTATTTCAATTTTCTACCCTCTTTAAAAAAAAAATGTTTTTATAAAGGAGCAAAGAAGGAAAAGAGTCCAACGTTTTTCCTCCCCTCTGCAGGGGACCTTCAAAACAGCATTTTTTGCAGTTTGCACTGTGTTGGTTGACTTCTCCATGTACACTGTAAAAGTACATCTGATGAGAAGGAAGAAATATATTTCTTGACTGAGAAATCACTTAGTGCTACCTCAAAAGTGATTTCTCCTTAGGGTGACCAGATAGCAAGTGTAAAAAATAAGGACAGGGTAGGGGGTAATAGGAGCCGTTTTTGTTTAAAAGGGTAAATAATGAGACGAGAAGGATGGGATTTGTTTCTAGATTTTATTTCATGGTGGAAAATTAACTATGGTACGTACGTTTGGGAAAATCTGGGCTGTGGTCTGGGTGAGTAACTAAATTCAGCCACAAGATGGCAGTAAAGATTTATAGTACCAAAGGTTGGCATAGACAACAACAAAAAAGCCCCAATGTTCGTTGGGCATCTTTATACATATGGTATTAGTTGCTGAGGTTCTTGGATGGCAGAAATCTGAACTCCTTTAGTTCTATGAGGCATTTAAAAAATGCTCATATTGCAACAGAGCTGAAATTACTCATTTCAGTGTAATTTGACTTGATTTTAAAACACTTATAACGACTGTATGAAGTGGTACATCCCAAAAAGAATGAGTGAAGATCGATATAATTAGATATTTAGTCAGTAGCTGGTGGTTTTTTGAAGTTTGTTTCCACTTCAAAATGATTCCATCTAGCTTGGCTTTTAACTCCATGTAACTGCATGTACATGTTCTTTCCCCCTATTAACTTTCTTAGGGTTGCCAGATGTCTGGTTTTCAACCAGAACACCCGGTTGAAAAGGGACCTTCCCCTGTCCGCTGAAAATGAGCGAGTGAGTGAGGGTGGGGGAGAGCGAGTGATGGAAGGAGGGGAAATGAAGTGAGCGGGGTGGGGCCTCGGAGAAGGGGCAGGGCAGGGGTCTTCGGTTTTGTGTGACTGGAAAGTTGTCAACCCAAAATAGTTGAGGTAAACATAATTGGAAAAATAGATACTTCCTTTTGTCAGTAATCTACAGGTAGTATCTTGAGAGTATGATGTTGAAAACTTTTTTTTTAAGGTCTATAGAAGTCATACCAGCAATTCATTTTCTAACTCAAATAAGAATAAAATAACTGACTAGAGTCATCAATGACCAGAATCATTTACCATCTGCAACCTTGGGCATTTTAAACTTTCAACATCTGAGAGGAGGAGGAGGAAGGAGAGAGGGGCCAGCATGAGGTCCCTAGTTGTACAGAAAATGGGGTCTTCCACCCCATAAACAGTTTAAAAGAGAGTCCTTCCTATCAATGTTAATCCCAACACTACAATTTAGCACTTTCAGATAGATGCCTGAGCTGTTCTACTACTTCTGTCCCTTTCTGTCTTCCGTTTATCTTAGCTGAGCTCATTCCGTAGGGAGCAATTCTCTAATTATTTTGAGCCATTCTCCAAATGTAAGGGATCATTGTCTGTCTGTCCATTAGCCACATGTTTCCTTACCAGGAGCCACAAACTAGCAATGAAGTCCTCAGCAACTCTACAGAACAGGCCTGCAGGGCAGATTTTTCCCATTCAGTTATCTGGCTTCTCTTAATCTTGGCTACATTTTTTTTTTTTTGGAGGTGGGGGGTGGGTACCAATGATTTTCTCTGCTAATATCTCTCTCTTCCCCCCCCCTCCTTCTTCCTCTCCCAATAAACCCCCATGATAATTATGAAAGCATTTGGGCTAAATAACGATCTTTCTCTTTGCAGCACTAATGGAACAGTAATTAATAAACTGAAAGTGGTTAAGAAGCAGACATGCTCTTTGCAGACTGGGGATGTGATCTATGTTGTTTACAGGAAGAATGAGCCAGAAAACAGTAAGCAGATATCTTTTTTTTTTTAAATGGCGTTGGCTAGTCATAAGGGATACAAGGGAATATCAGATGGTGAGAATAGAGCTACTCAGTGAATGCTAGAGCAAGTCACTTTTTAATATTAAAACCAAACTTTTTCATGATTCTGGGGGCCTTTTCTAGTCATCGTCATCATCCTCTCTTATTTGTATTATGGTAGCGCCTATAGCCATTGGTTGAAATTGGGGCCTCATTCTGCTAGATACTCTATAAACACATAGTAGGAAATAGCCCCTGCCCTACAAAACCTACAGTCTAATGAGGCAAGATAAATGAAGGCTTGGAGGAGAAATGGAGGCAAAGAGAGGTGGCGAGACAAGCTAAAGGTCATGCAGTATGTCATTAGCAGAGCCAGAAATAGAAGCCAGATCTCCTGGGTCCAACCCAGGAGGAGGAAATTAGTTATAAAGTATTTAGCATTTGTTACTTCAGTAAAAAATGTTCAGTTTTCTGAAGTTTCCTTTATAACAGATTAAAGGTATAGGTATTTTAAATACTACATTCTAGCTACTATGTCCAAAACAGGAATGTAAATCTCTGAAATGAAATTTTATAGTGGGCAGATTGGGAGTGTAACGAGTTATTACACTGTCATATGATCAGGAATTATTATGAAGAGATAAATACTACTGTGATGAGTGTGGTATTAAAACTCCAGATAAAACTGAAGCCCCTGATGAATTTGGTGCCTCAGATTTGTCTAAAGTGTAAGAAAGTCTAAATGTCTTAGAATTTATGTTTGCAACTATGCCACGACAGGAAAATTTATAAGCTGTTTGTCCACAGTTTATTTTAGATGCATGTAACTGTTGGAACCTGAATTCCCTTTTGTAACCTCACCATCAGTTTTTAGAATCTGGATTTATCAATTTGTGATGTCAATTTTACAGGAAAGCAATGACACATGCGCACACACTCTAAATCTATATCTTTATATCCACTATCTCTTTTGTTGATCCTCTTTTGGGGATTTCACTGTAGCAGTCAATACTAGTTGAGGAATTCATTTATCCCGTTGTTCCACGATAGATTGAGATGTTCTGAGGTATTAATTTTTTTTAGTTAAAATGTATTTGAACAGGGCTGCTTAGTGCCTTAGTACCTATCATTCAGTTAATGTTCTGAGTCCTGATTTTTTCATCCCCTGTGCCTTGAAGGACTGAGAGTGAGCTTAGCTTTGGCACGTATAGTTGTCTTATTTAAGCAATTCTGAAACAGTCTAAAAAGAATCCTGCATAGTTCTTTGCTACTAAGATTGATCACAGTGCAAATGTAGAGGGTGTTGGAAGGACCTAAATGGTTGAGGATAAAAAGCAAGGAGACACAATGGGATCTGTGGAGTTCTGTCAGGAAGCTGGAGGGTTCCCATAGGCTGGGGAAGAAAAGAATTTGCTCTGATTTGCTTCATAAGTAGGTTTTGGGTTAGCCGGTGAATAGCATTTGGGTAGTGGCTTAAACTGTTGTATGGAATTTGATTGTTAACTTTAAACTTTTTACAATAAACTCTAAGGAAAATTATATAAAAAATTGAACTTATGAACAGTTAGAGCTCACCTCTCAGCCTTCTGCAGAGAACATCCAGTACAGTTGTATTAGTAAGAGTAGTCACAGCTTATCTTGACACAGCACAATTTATAGTTAGGAAGTGTTTAAGCCTCAATTTCTATGGTTGGCACAAGCTAAATTTCACACACAGCCATTCGGCTTGGTCTGAGAAGAATAGATCTAGCTGTTCTGTTCCTAATTACCTCCTAAGTAGCAGCATTAACATTGGCTATAACAGCAATCTCCTGTTTGCCCTCTCCATTGTAGGAAACGTATGAGAAGCAGCCACCTGTGGGTAGGAGTTGGTGAGAGTAAGAGGGAGAGAAATAAAAACACTTTTTATAATAAAATTTCTGCCATTTTCTCTCCTTTCAGATGTTGCTTATCTCTATGAATCCTTCAATGCAAAACAAGATGTAACACAAGAACCAGTAGGTAAGTAAAACTATTAGTTCAAGACTAAAGAAAGGGAGATGAGTGGTTGTGACTAATTGTAGCTGTTTTAAGAGAGCTTGATTCCTTCAAATCCTGTTAATTGACTCTGTTGAAGCCATGACCTTTTGAGGTTGCCTATCAGAGAGATATTCTTTCCACTCCCTTTTCTGTTACAGAAGCTAATGTAGAAAATACTTGCCATCTGACCAAAGATACCTCACATATAGGAAGAAGTGATGATGGAACCCAAATTACCTCATCACTGCCAGCCACTCAGTCTTGCTATGAGGAACCACAGCCATCTACTTCTACATCTAACCTCTTTAATGCTTCTTCTACCTCTCTTATCGAGCGGGCATCTGCTGAGCAGGATAATCCTTCAACATCTGGTAAGGGTATTGTGTGCAGTGTTTGTAAGCTTGGTGCCTCAGAAATTATGACTCTTCTGTTGAATCCTAAGAAACGAATCTCTTACTGTAGAGGATAAAATGATAATGATCAAAATCCCTGCAAAAGTTCAAGTCAAAGCACCTGATCGGTAGTTAATTTAATAACTTGTTCCATAAGAAAATCATAGGCTTAGTCCTAGTGGCTCGGAAAAGCAATTGTGAGAATTGTGTGTATTCAAGGACACAGACGATGCATTTCAATCATTACGTGTTTTAATTTTGCAGCCTTCACCATGGAACTTAGATGCAGCTGTTGGGGATTTTTTCCCCTCACCAAGCTGGCGTGTAAACTTATTGAAACTATACAGATCACATCACAAAGCTAACTACAACTGAATATTTGCATGCATTCTAATCCTCACTGTTGCTGCTGCCATTCACCAGTCCACTTTCTCCCATTCAGAGATTTTTAAGGTTAGAAGGGACCACATTGATCATTTAATCTGACAAATAGGACAAAAGACAATTATTTAGAAGATGTAAATGATGTTCCCAGCAGTGATCCCCAGTTCCTCTGGGGATCCTTTCCAGCTACCCATCTGCCACCCAGTTTAATCAAGTGAAAATCCACTCATGCTGTCGTTCCAATTTACCAAATTACATGATCACGGCAGGCTGCCTCCTGACCTTCAACGTACCCTCAATCTTTTGTGCACCTATACTGCATCCTGTTTCATGACCTTACTCCATCCCCAGATTGCTTAAACGCTTCAAATACTGCAACATCCGATCGCAAATCTGGCCCTGCCTGCCCATACTGGCTCCTTCCTAAGTATTGTTCAAAATGTGCCTTAGCCTTGATGTACTCTGCATATTATTTGTGCTCCCCCCGACTCTTCAACCACTTCTGTGGTAGGCTGCATATGTGGAAGGAGGGGGGGGGGCTGAGTGCGTGTGCGCATGTGAGAGAGAGAGAGAATAAAATCACTCCAAGACTGAATCTTTATTACTAAGTACTGGCCTGGAGCATATTTTTATGAATGAATTATAAGCACTTCTATTTAGATGGGGAGTGTTTACAGATTCTGTACCAGTTTCTTTACAGATTCTCCAAATAATCAGGTATATTGGGAAAACTAGGACAGATGATATACCATATAATCATGCAAACAATGCCAGCACACTTGTTGTTTGACATGGCCTTTTCTCATTCAAATGATATTTGAATTGGGATGGGCATGTGTCAGGGGAAATATAGTTTTTCTTCAGTGTTCCCTCTTTGTATACATCTGTTAATAATCTCTGCTTTCATTTTACAGGATCACAGTCCTCTGTTTTCATTCCTGTGCCTGCTTTCCCCACTCTAGAACCTAGGTGTCCTGGAGCATCACATGAAGAACAAGGACAGCTGTATGCAAATAGTGAAACTTCCACTATCACTTCAAATATCATTGATAAAGAGAAAAATGAAAGTTCTACATCAGAGCCTCAAAGGGAAGAGGAGGAGGACTTGGAGCCTGCAAAGAAGAAAATAAAAGGAGGCTAGTATATTACAGTATTATGTGACATAAGATGTAGTCTTCTATTTAATCTTGTGTTAAAATGATTTGAAAGAAGACTGACACTCACTCTGTAATGGAATCAGAAGCTTCCAGTTACGTACATGGGTGGCTTGTTAATTTTTCACAGAATTCCATTTGGGTTAAGTGAAACACAGGGATCTGAAATGACTTACCAGGGCTCAGCAGGCAGTTCAGTGGGTTCAGTCTAGATTAGAATCCAAGACTCTAACTATATCTTATGAAAGTTTAAGACTATTATTACTTTTTTCTCTGCTGAAATGAAATGAGTCCAAAATGCACTCCTATAACCTAGAAGGGCTTTAAAGGATTTGTTTAAATGGTATATAAAACCTTAGTGTTTTGAATAATATATATCTATATAGATATAATATAGGTATTGCAATCTGGTTTTTAAAAACACGTGCCCTCGGGCTTCTATTACATGAGGGCAAATATGTTTACTTTTCACAAAGTATGACTTAAAGCAGGGGTTCTCAAACTGGGGGTCGGGACCCCTCAGGGGGTCACGAAGTGTCAGCCTCCATCCCAAACCCCACTTTGCAGCCAGCATTTATAATGGTGTCAAATATATAAAAGTGTTTTTTAATTTATTGGGGGGGGGGGGAGAGGAGTCGCACTCAGAGGCTTGCTATGTGAAAGGGGTCACCAGTACAAAAGTTTGAGAACCGCTGACTTAAAGGGCCCAAATATTGCTGATTTCAGACCTTCTCCAGGCTTCCTGGTATTCTGTTGCTGGCTCAGTGAAAATAATGGCTGTGGCTGTAAGACTGTGCAGAGATCAGTCTGCAAAGCAAGGACATCAGCTTTGTGACAACACTAGTGATGGAAGCAGATATGAATCATAATGCTTAGCTTTTTGGCTTAATTGAGTAACATTAAATAGGCAGGCTCTGACATCCATGGTCAATGTAATCTATTGTTATAACACTGAGATATATCTTCTCTGCAGATGAGAATGCTAGTCCATACCTTCAGATGACCGCTCCAAATCAATGTATAATTAAAGCTGGATCTGAAGGTGCAAAAACAACAAATGTGAAACCAGACAAAATGGAAGAAACACTCACTTGCATTATCTGCCAGGAATTGCTGCATGACTGTGTCAGGTACTTATAGTTAAAAAGAAGCTTCTGTAATTACATGGGACTTAATACAAAGAATGCAATAACTGCTGTTTGGGGTAGTGGAGGTTTGTCTTTTGTAAACTATTAGTTTCTCTTGAGAGTTGGTAAGATTTTCTCTTTTTATGCAGTGTATATACCAGGATTTCAACATGTACACTTCCCCCACCGTACAGTATTGAACAATTAGCTAGCTGCTTTAGGCTGGGACTTTCAAAGAAGCTTAAATGGTAGAAGTGTTCACCATCCTACAAAGCCTTGGGCATAGACCACAGTCAGAGGCATGATACAGGATTTAATGGACCATTGACTCAATCTGGTATAGCAAATCTCATGATGAATTCTAGTTCACTTGGCCAGTGGCCGGTTAAACAAGGCTTTGACTCTTCTTTAATCAACATTACCATTTTATGATGGGAAAACTACTATCCAGCCGAAGTGAAGTGGAGTGTATCAGGTAGCGTAGCCAGAAAAGCAGATCAAACTGAACATGAGATGCGAGTTGAAGTGTGTGGTTTTTAATGGATGCTTTCCCATCTCGATATGGGAAAGGTGAGCATCTTTGCCTCAAGTATATATTTGGAAAAGGCTCAAAATTATAGGGGATTATAAGTAATTGAACAATTATTAAAGTTAATTTAAAAAATGAAGCAGTGTCCTTCAGTAATCAAAGGTGCTAGATTAATAGCACAGCAGTCCGGGAAGTGTGGATGAAGAGAGTAGAGTGATTCCAGCTCCAGTCTATATTAAATCCTTGGTCTCTGACAAGACTTACAATAATATGACGCTAATTGTGAATGTGAGTTACTTTATATTGTAGATATGCTTTCTACAATCTAGTAAATCCTGAGATTATCCACTAATATCCAATAGACTGCTAAACATCTGTCAGCTGATTGGTAATGGAAATGTGGTCACCAATTCAAATCTCCTGTGTAGTCCTGGCCTCTTGTGAAACAGATCTTCACTGTGGAAAAACAGACTTCCATACAAATCATTACATAAAGTTCTTTGATATTTCTTGATTATCTAAACAGATATCAAAGGACCATGCTTTTTAAATACTTTTGTATTTAAAGCTTATGTAAAAGGCCTGTTTTGAGTCTTGAGATTTCTCATTGTCCCTCTGATGTAAACCTGTTTGTGTTTCCAGCTTGCAGCCCTGCATGCACACCTTCTGTGCTGCCTGCTACTCAGGGTGGATGGAACGGTCTTCTCTCTGTCCAACTTGCCGTTGTCCAGTTGAACGTATCTGTAAGAACCATATACTGAATAACTTGGTTGAAGCCTATCTAATCCAACATCCAGGCAAGTTGGAAGTGTATTTAATATACTTACATATACAGCATGTTTCAGATATTAAGTGTGAAATAGGTGTATAAACAGAGAAAAAGATCCTTATCCATCAAACCTTCTGTGCCTTTCCTACTATTTTGCCTGTTGCTCTCATGTTGCATGAGAGAAAAAGAACCAACAGCCAGTTAGTATGTCAGAATAAAGTGTAATATTCAAATACCTGAGAATTGGAAGCAATTTATTACAGGAACCTTTTTATAATACTAGACCTGAAGGCACTTAACAAATGTGAAGCTAAATTCATTATGAGAGGGAGGGAGGTATTGTCAAAGAGAGGCATTGAGAGGTGAGGCTTCCTGAAGTTAGATACTTCTGAAAAAACAAGCCACTAAGATGCTCAAATTTGGATTTAATTGTCTAACTTTAAGCACCCACTCCTGAAAATTTCATCCTAACTGACTTATCCAAGGTCATACACTGCCATTGGCAGAGCTGGAACTAGAATTACGAATTCCAGGCTTCAGTCTCGTGCTTGTGACTTTATAAAATGTCAGCTACGTGAACATTCTAGGATGTATTGCATAGCTACAAATACTGTAGTCACATATTCATAAATACTATGTACATTGTTTAAAAACTTGCAAGGTGATGGAGATGATTTTGCTCTGGAGTAGTCGATTTGATGATTTACAGCTATCTCTTTCTTCATGTTCATATTTGTGTTTCTTTTGCAGATAAGTGTCGTAATGAAGAGGATGTACGTAGTATGGATGCCAGAAACAAAATCACTCAAGACATGCTGCAGCCTAAAGTGCGAAGGTCATTTTCAGATGAAGAAGGAAGTTCTGAGGATCTGCTGGAACTGTCGGATGTAGATAGTGAATCCTCCGATATCAGGTATGTGCATTGGCTTAGCTTTAGTTTGGGTCTGAGTGCTGGCAGTCTCAAACCAGGCTAGAGCACTGTGTTGTTAGCTGCAGCCATTTGCAAAACTGGGGTTTAATCTTTACTGCGTCCCTCATTTTGAAGCCCTGGCAGTATGTTTCCATGATCATTGTCAGGATTCGGTTTTGATTTAATTTTTGTTTTCAAGTTCAGTTTTGGAACCTCTATAATAATCTCAAAACCGATAGATAAAGTGCTATTTATAAAGGCAGCAGGGAGCTGATCCAGGTCATGGCACCACCTAAAGTAGCCCAAGATCATCAGTGAACAGCTCCAGCCGTGCTGCCTTCTGCCCCGGGCATTCCCTCTCCACCAGAGGTCCAGTAGTGGGTGAAGTTGAGCAGCGAGTGCTTTCCTGAAGGATTCCCAGATACAAGGAGGATTTCCAGCTGGTTGGCTAAGCCAAGTTTCTGGTGCCAAGGGGATGGAGTGGAACAGAATGGTGGATCTGGCCCTAAATCACCACATACTGTTGTAACTTTTTGTCCTCCTTTTCCTCCCATCCTACGCCTTCTTGGATTGGAAGCCAAGGCAAGCATTGTGTCATTTGTAGGTCTTGGAAAGCGTCAGCTCACTTGTGGGCTCAGTGTAAATAAAAACAATCTAGGGCAACTTGCACTCACTTCTGGAACTAAAAAACTTTAAATGCTTCTGAAATAATTAGCAACAGAGGGTCCTGTGGCACCTTTGAGACTAACAGAAGTATTGGGAGCATAAGCTTTCGTGGGTAAGAACCTCACTTCTTCAGATGCAAGTCTGACTGAAGAAGTGAGGTTCTTACCCACGAAAGCTTATGCTCCCAATACTTCTGTTAGTCTCAAAGGTGCCACAGGACCCTCTGTTGCTTTTTACAGATTCAGACTAACACGGCTATCCCTCTGATACTCTGAAATAATTGTGTCTTTTTATTTTACCCTTTCTACTTTGAAAGGAACTAGGAGTTCAATACTTAGCTTCACGTGATCTGTGTTGCTGAACACGTAAGCTTCCATATCCAGATTTTATCTACTGGGCTTAGGCTAACACTTCATAAAACCAGAAACAAATAGCTAGTTGAATCCATTCTGGAAACTATACATATAAAATCCAATAACCTGATTGTGTCTTTCCTTTCAGTCAGCCTTATATAGTGTGCAGACAGTGCCCAGGATATCGGCGACACTCCATTCCGCCACTTCCTTGCCCAGGCCAAGAGGGGGAAGCAGGAGGATTGCAAGCATTGGGAGATGCACCATCGACGTCTGCTAACTTTCCTGCAAGTCAGTGTGATGAAAAGCTTGTTGTTAACATGGTACTGGGACACTAAGAAACACATGTCACTTATGAGGAAAGGACACGTTCTTGGGGTATTGTGAAAGTCAGCATCTTCCCTAGAGTCTTGAGATGTGAAGATGACTTTCCTGGGTTACTGGGGGATAAGTCAAGCCTTTCCTATTTATTTAACAAATACTATGTGCTCTGTCTTTAAATAGCTATACATTATAGCTGAGTCGAACCATTTTCTGTCACCCTTGTGGGAGTATAGAATAATCTGTGTCTTTGTGAATTTCAGCAAAAGTCAAACCCCTACTACAAAAGCAGATTTATAACACTCCATATTGGAGTTATCAGTGGTGTAGGTTCAAAAGCTTACAGGATTTGTAGTGCTTACAGGGTGAGTGTAGATGACTCTACTCAGGGTAATAAATAATCCACTAACTACTAGGGTTTAGTTGGATTTCCCAGGGAGGGGAATAAGTTGTAGAACATCAACTGATGAGGGTCATCTGAAATAATTGTTCTCCATTCTTCATCTTGTGGGTTGACAGTCTTGATTTTGCTGCTGGTGGATAAAATTGTGAAGGTTTCATCAAAATCAAAGTGGTATCAAAAGGTTTTCAAGCTTTTTCTCCTGCTGTTTCAAAGCTGATTGAAAAAATCATTCATTGGCTTTGACTTGTCAACTCTAGAGTCTGCATGTATATGTGTGATGAGAGAGATATGTACTCAAATGTACAAGCAGAAAACTAGGAGAAAACTTACAGCTGTATTGCCCAAAATACACTGTTTAGGAGCAATTGGTTCTTTTACTTTCTTAAGCTATTTCCCTGTGTTAAATAAAAGTCTTCTAGTTTAATAGTGTAAAAAGGTATATTGTTTAGAAGCCTTAATGCCAATTTCCCTATTTTTCTGTATAGCCTTCTAAAAACTTTAGTGATATTGCTTAAGTATCAAGTTCCTCTGCTCTTTGGATGCTGATGTGTGTGTCTAACACTCATTGGTACTGTGGTTCCATATTATATAATTCTTTGGGGTTTTATTTCTTTCAATCTAGCTGTCCAGGAGTATGTTTGTCCTTCTCAAGGAAGTCATGTAATATGCACGTGCTGTTTTCAACCAATGCCAGACCGAAGAGCAGAGCGTGAACAGAATCCCAATATTGCCCCTCAGCAATGTGAGTAAACTTTATTATCCTAAAAACAAATGTATTTCTGATTGCTAATCCTAGGTCTATTTGAAAGACATTCTAACTATAGCAGATCATGTGCTGTTACAAGAGAGGGTTTTCCAGCTTCTGTGGGGTTTAATTAAGAGAGGGAGGTTGTTCTCCTATATCTCTACTCTAAGCACAATTAATGCAAATTGTTTTGAAATATATTAGCATTTTTCAACAATAGTGTGGATGGAAAGACTTGTATATCTTTGTTGTCATAGTGATACAGCAAAATGCATTAGCTGACTGTTTTTTTTTTGTATTGTAACATTTCTCATATAGCCACCATTTATGTCAGGTTAGTTGTACAGCGGAGCAGTGTTTTGTGTAAAGCCCTATGATCTTTGGGTTGTTATGCTGCTTTGTAAGACCAAAATACCCAGACAGTGGTGACTGCCTTGGGTTGATCGTGACTTTTCTTTGTGTTCACAGGCACAGTTTGTCTACAGCCGTTCTGTCACTTGTACTGGGGCTGCACTCGGATGGCATGTTTTGGCTGCTTGGCACCATTCTGTGGTATGGCAGGAGAATCACTGTATCAGCTATAATTACTTTGCATACAATAGTGTCTCGGTTACTTGGATTTTACCAAGCTTAATTTTCTAATGTAAATGTAATGTTGTAGTTCAGATTAGGCTTTAGCTCAATCACAGTCATGGCACAGAAAAAGAGAGGGGAATCTGTTGTCATGTTCCAAATACATGTAACTCTTTAAATGTATAATCCTTAGCTTTGACATGCTTTAACACTGACGTCCTATCTGATCAAGCGATCAAATTACTTTTGTGACTATAAATAGCACCTTGGGTATTAAAGAGAATCTTGCAACATTTCAGACTAAGGAGAAAAACATACAAATCAACATAAGAACATTGAGAGCCAGATCTTAAGATGTTAGAGAAGACACTTACCCACTTCAAAAACTTTTAGACTATACCTTTAAAATGGGTAGTAGAAGTCACAATTAACGGGTTATTGTATTGTTAATTGGTACTGAGCAACAGTGGCTCCTGTGGACTGTAATGAGTAGTGAGCTGCTTAGTACCTAATCTTGGATCAGTTCCTAAAGTTGGGATGTTATATGATATGCTTCAATATGTGTTTGCATAAACTCATATACTGTGTTCATAAAAGTCCATCTTTGTTACAGAATAAGAAAAACTTATTTAGAAATTGCAAAACAAAGATAATTTCTCCTCTTCTTAACAGAAATAAATCTTGGTGACAAGTGTTTAGATGGAATCCTAAACAACAACCATTATGAGTCGGATATTCTAAAGGTATGTTTAAAAATCACTATATGTTGGATATGAGCATGAGAACATGCAACACCGAGACTGTGACATACCAGGTGTTTAAAGCAAGAAATCCAGAAGGAGACACTCTTCTCCTTTTTCCATCCCATTGTGGGTAGGTCCAGCAGCAATTGAGTAATGTTTGTTCATTCACTGTCTGGAGATGCAGGTACAACTAACATTATCTTTAACTCAAATTCCATGAGTTATATTTTGTTTTACATTTAATCACTTCATCCTCCCCCCCAAACTCAGCGTCATTTTAACACCATTAGCCTAATCCATTAACTCTTACTCAGGCAAATATTCTTTTCAAAGACCGAGTGAGTTTAGAAGACTGAATAAAGACATCAAGAATGTGTTCAGTCTTTCATGTTGGTACATCTCTTTGAGAAGAGTGCAGGAGAAGACACAATGGACAGTAACTGCTCTGAGCTGTTAATGAGTCAGGCTTCTACTGTATATAATAATACCTTGCTCTGATGTAGTGTGATAGTTTCCCCATCTGTAAAATGGGAATAGTAAGATGAAGTGGCTTTCCCAAAGTCACCCAGCAGGCCAGTGGCATGAAATAATCTACATGCTTAGATTGTGTATAAATACATATTTAAGGATTTAGACAGAGTGTTCACCCAGTAGAGTGTAATTACTATCTAGTGTGTGTTTATGTATACATACCTGTACACACACATACACATAGGGATTTTATATTGTGGTCTGTTAAGCCTAAAGTGCACTCAGTTCCTGGATGATGGATTTTGGCTCAGTGTGTCACTGTGGTATCATCTGCTCTGCACCAGCACTAAACTGATGTTACTAAACATCCTTTCTGTAAGGGTGGGGGAAAGGTGTTCACTAGCAATGTTGCATGTGGTGATCTTTACAATAGGGCTGTGTCCTGGTTGGCAGTTTTAGGTGTGCCACCAGTGGGTCTCTGAAAGGCAAACTAAATAGTTCTTCAGCTTTCAGCAGAGCCGACCAAGTGTAAAACTTACCTCATTGAGCAAATGGCCAGCCGGAAGTATTGTATTTATTTCTGGGTCATCTTTTAGCCATTTCAATTTCTGTACCAGAGGAAGTGTAACGATTTGAACTAGAATTCCCTCCAAGCTATCCTGAGCACTCCCCTCTCCCTGCTCTTTCTCCCCAAAACAAGTTGAAAAATTACTTTTCCATAATCATGGAGATTTATTTCTCCAACTTGCACTTCTGGCGCAGGTGTGGCAATGATTAAACACCAGAGAAATCACGTTGAAATTAAATGACTGAAAGACACCTTCTGGAATTCAGATGCATCTAGCAAACCGGTGTTACAGCTTTATACATATCAATGATGACTTGCTAAGAAAACCGGTTCCTAAGGTCTATAAAAAGTGTAATGTCCAAAAGCTTAATAATGGAAAAAAATCTGCAAAGAAAATTAGGCTTATTACAATTTTTTCCTCCACTCGAGTTAATTTTAACTTAAAGTATATGCCAAATATTATGTACCTGGCCATGATTTATGTTGCCTTTAGCTAAGGACACTGGGTAAAATCCTGGCCCCGCTGAAGTCAATGGAAGTTTTGCCATTGACTCTAATGGACCAGGACCTTGCCTAGCATGATTAAGCTTCAATCCTGTGAAGTCTTACACACACGCTTACTTGCAGTGGGACTACTTGAATGCTTAAAGCTAAATACCTACACTAGTCTTTGTGGGAGAAGGGTCATGGTGAACATAGAGTATTGACTATAAGTATCGGTGATCTGACAATGGTAATGTTGGTAGTCGGGTTAAAGAAATATCAATAATTTGGATTAAAAATATACAATGAAATGCATTTTGAAAACCTATTTAGACTTACATTTTTGTTACATTGATATCTCTTAGCCTCTTCTAAATACACATTTTTAAATTCCATGTTTCAGGAATACCTGGCATTCAGGGGTTTTACATGGAAAAACATGTTAAATGAAAGTCTCTTAGCTCTTCAAAGAGAAGTTTTTATGCTGTCAGGTAAGTCTCTTCATTCTTATGTTTATTTTGAGTGGCATGCATTTCAATAAGTAATAGTGGATTGTGCTAAACCTATCCTGCTTTCCTAAGCTGTCTGTGTACATGCTCGGAGCGGTCACTGCATTTTTTTGAGACGTTAGATTAAATGAGACTTAAGTTAATGCTGTGTACAAACTGGCTTGTTCTCCAGATTACAGAATTACTGGGAACACAGTGCTTTGTTATTGTTGTGGCCTCCGCAGCTTCCGAGAGCTCGCCTACCAGTATAGGCAGAATATTCCTGCTGCTGAATTGCCAGGTGAGGAATGGGGAAAAATTAATTTGATCCATGACTGTGCAGGCCTGGGAACTCGGAGTCAAACCTCTTTCAGTTAAATGGATCCTCCCATGCAGGTCCTTTCACCTAGGTGTAGTCCTGTTGCAGGCAGTCGGTGGTTCCTTTTGCAGGAGTGAGGTCTTACATTGGCTGCCTTACTCACGAGTTGTTATAAAGCTTGTGTGTTACCAGTTCAAAGAGCGGCTAGTGCCAAAACCTTCATAGGGGATTCTTCGCCTCCAATATGGCTTGTTATTTTTTAAAATTTTTAATATTTATGAGGACTAAAGGGCATACTAAAATACTTCAAAATTAAAGCATAATATATAAGAACAACTAGCTGTTGACTATAATTTAGTTATCATAAATTCTTTGCACATTTAAATGCAAATTAGGTGCTGATATTTTCTGAATGATATCTGACTATATTGGCTCATGTTGTTAGTTGTTTACAAGAATTCCTCCCAACCTGCATTCTAAAACTGCTGAGCAGTATAGAGCTTCATTATAAGATAGTAGGGGCAATTGTATCTCCTTCAATTCCAATGTGTCCACAGTCTGTTGGGGACAGATGAGCCCTTCCATTAATCTACTTTTAACTCAGTTATGCACTGCAACTCTTTTTTCCAAACAGTCCTTGTTGTTAGCAACAGCTTCTCCACTCAATTACCCGCTAAGTATGCTGCTGCGAGTTTCAACACAGCATGGGGCAGACGGGCCAGCCTAGTATGTTTAATTTTTATAAGTAACATTTTATCTGCTTAGGGAGGCATGTTTGACTGCTCAGCTATACATTCATTATAGCTGTGGCAAAACTATAGAAACAAAAATAATCGCTACATATTCTGTTTTGAAGTATATCTAAACTGTAACTGGTGCATGATGTCTTATGTATTTAAGGCCCGATCCTGTTTCCACTGAAGTCAGTGGCAAAACTCCAAGTGGCTTCAATGGTGCAGGATCAAGTCATTATGCAGAGGGCTGGTCCATGTTTGCCCCCAATGCATGATGGGTTTTTCTGTGCTTCAATATGTATTTTGTAAAAATGACAGGAAACTGATATTACTTAAAGCAGTTTCTTGCAAGAGGTCTTTTCTGACCCCAGCAACACCTAAGCAAAGCCATTTACTGCAGTGGATCCTAATGTATTTCAGCTACATTGACTTTTGTCATCTGCTACATCTTTAATCATTACTTTATGCAATAAATGTGATATTATGGTGGTTTATTTTATAGTGACTGTCACATCACGTCCTGATTGCTACTGGGGGCGCAATTGCCGGACTCAGGTTAAAGCACACCATGCTATGTGAGTTGGTGGTTTTTTGTTTTGTTTTTGTTTTTAAGCTTGAACTTAAAACTATATTAAAAAAAATCAGGCTTAATGGAGTAGTTCTCAAGTGGTGGGTCCTGTCTAGAACTCTGAGAAACTATTTTTGCAGCACAAACCAAAACCGCATGATTTTTCTGGTTTCTCTTCCAGAATTGAAATTTATTCCTAGGTTCATGGACCGTGGAACATCTGTTGGTCCAATTTCAAGTGAGCCTGCTCTGATTTATGGTTCCAGGTAGAAACCACATGATATGTAGAGATTTTGTACAAACATGAAACTCGAAGTTAGAGTTTCATCCATGTAGAAACAAAGGAAACAGGTCACATAAGCACCTGTGATATGAAATAGCCAAGTTTGGCACACTTTTGATCCTGACTTCCCAAGCCTAGTCATCACTTACCACTGAATCAGACTTTCGAAGTTCTTTGTGCCTGGGCTCTCCTCAGATGCACTACATAAACCCTATTCTGGTCCCTATTTTGAAGTGCCATGGGATTCCAAGGATACTGGGATGCATCTGAGGACAAGATTACTCTTGTTGAAAGTGGTTATCTGACATTTCCCTGTTCGAAACCGGTTGAGAACCTGTAGCTTTAGGAGTCTGATGTGGCCTGCCATTCTTTGTCGCCAGAGTGGTTCCAAGAGTTTCATTCCCTGGATTAGTTCAGCTTGGGCTCCTGGTGAAAATAAAGAACTAAGCTTGAAGACAGGAGGAGGATCCTTCGCTTTTCAAGTGTATAACAATTCTAGGGAGTATAGACTCCAAATCCACGTGTGAAAGACAGACCTATGCAGCTGCCAGTGGGTGATTTGCATAAGACTGCATGTGTGATATATTTAAAAAGAAGGGTTTGATTCCTTTAAACACTAGGCAGCTGGGTGGGAATTTCTTGGTCGTATCTTCTTTTGTTAGAAAAAGAGACTCCAGTCAGTTAGTTAGCGGAGGACAGTCTCCGGCTTCTCAAGGTACGTGATCATGCACGAGAACTAACTAGAAGTTAGAAATGCCTATCTATAGAATTAAAAAGATCTGTTTTCCCCACAAAGGGTTGGATTCAGACCTAGCGTAAACTAGTGTAGCTCCACTCTATTCAAAGGAGTTGCACTCACTCCAAGCCTAAATTTGGCCAAAAGTTAAAGGACTTAACAGCTTGCTTAGCTCAGAATTGATTGACTCCATTAAGCAGGCTGAGGGTAGGCAGAAATACTGTTCCTCACTTTATGAATAATGATCCATGTTCTCAGTGCCTAAAGAGGAGCTGTCACTTTCCCTCTATTGAGAGATTGCTTTAATGAGCGGAAGATCCTGCTCTATCTACCTAATTCTCTGAGAAGACTATGCAGTTATCATAATTTTCCTTTAATTCAGACTACTGTGGTCTGAAAATCATCCATCTGAGCAGCTTATACAGCCAGATCATTAGAAAGATATTAAAAAATATTAATCTGCCAATCTCTTCCAAGGGTAAAGATTTTGCAGAATAAACTCCACAAACTAATTTTCTTTCTCTTTCTCATAGATTTAGTTTAGGTGCTTTGATGTACATCTGCGAGAGTTATCTGTAGCACTGGGCTGCATTGTTGTTGCTAGGGGGCATTTTGATGCGCTTGGGAGCTGATTCAGTGTCAAAACAACTGCCAGACTTTCCTATTCAGATTGAAGTTGGGTTTTTTGTATCCCTCTGGAATAGGAATTGAAGGAAGCTTTAGTGATAATTCAGTGCTCTTTCTTCAAGCGTTAGCTGTACATAGAACTTTGGACAAGCTTCTAGTTCCAGAAACCCATGAAACAAAACAGTCCTGACACACCACTCTTACACACCACACACCTTCTGCATGAGGCAGAGCTAGTCTGCTAACTGGTGTGGGTTTGAGACCAGATTCTTATTAAATAAGAGGGCTGAGAGCCTCAGGCCTTCTACTCATCTCCTGCAAACATCTACACGCTCAACTCTCAACTTGTGCCTTAAATACATGTTGGGGCACTGAACCCATCAGGGAGAACACAAGAACAGACAAGTACTTGACAGTAAGAAAGTAGTACATTTATAGAATTCTGTGTTACCTGTCTAATCCAGGATGATCAGTATGTCACTTCCATGGAACCCAAGTCACTTGGGAAGATGCAGCCTTCCTCCCTAAAGTGGGAAAGTTTTCCATTCTCCTTTATTTCCAGAAAGAGATTCCAAACTCATCTTGGATCTCAGAAATCAAAGAATGTTTATGTTGAAATTTATTATTTAGCCGGGTTAATATGTCCTGAAGGTTGTCTAACAACTTCAGTTCCCAGTGAGACTCCTAATGCTGACTGCTGAAAATTACCAGTGTCTGTCAGGGCAAGATTACTTCTGCTTATGTGTCCTGTCTTAATTGACTCCTAGATTTATAGTATGCAGTGGTAGAGAGGAGTACAGTTAACAGGTTTTCAGAGTACATAATGTAATTAACAGTTGTTGGGTAGTAGAAATACTGAGAATTCTATTATGAAAAACTTTATGGAGGATAGGAGTCAACCTAAAATAACAGGCCTCAATGTCTTCAGGTTCTGATAGCATTAACATGTATATGTGCTGCTTTAAACTTTTGTTTGACTTTAAAATATCCTAAAGCAGGTTTGACTCTTTCATGGTGGTGTACTTCTGAGAGCAATTTTAAACTTTTTTGTTTTTATTTCAGGAAATTCAATCACATTTGTGAACAAACACGTTTCAAGAACTGAACTTTCTGAAATTGAAGCTGTCTGAATATTTGTAGTCTTTAGAGAGGGGATGAAAGCCCGAAATACTGATCACATAGGAAATGTTTTCAGGGGATTTTCATTATTCCCTCACAGCAGGGAGTTAATAACTTTTTCATCAGGTACTCTGGTGTGACCTTTTTAATTTGTAGAGTTTAACAGTTTATATATGAGTAAGCGAGAACCTTTTGAAAGAAAATCTGACAAGCATTGCATTCCATCCTCATTATTACAGTGTTACTATTTCACTATACTTAAATCAAGTAATAGCAGCCATACATTGGAGGTCCTAACAATAATCAGTAAGGAGTGTATTTGCACTAAATGTGTCTGAAAATAAGAGAAACCTTTAAATTAAAATGGAAATGCTCTGTACCGGTAACTTAATATCAAAGGAGGAAACTCAGCACATGTTCAGACTTGTCCACTGCTATCTTGTCATTAGCATTGCAGTTAGGATGGAAATCTATTAAAGTTCACTTTCACAAAACAGTACGGTGATCTGGTATACATTCCATCAGAATGGTTTTGTATTAATTTTTTTTCCCTATTCATTAAACAAACAACAGCTTCAGCTTACAGCTCCAAATCAGAACAGTGCTTTGCAGGAACGCTATAAAGGAAAACATTTTTTTTTAGTTTAGTAATATTGATGTTTTTTTACCATTAGAATTAAATAACTCAAACAGTTGCACAAACATTTACAAATCAGACTCAAATTTGGGATAGTAATTGCTTATGAATAAGCTTCTGCTTTTAATAACTGTTTAGCAATTTTATATCAAACTAAACCATTATTGACATAGAGCAGACAGTAAGACAAGTTGGTGCAATTTTTTAAATTTATTTTTTGGTGTGATGTCGTACGTTAGCTAGGCATGTAGTTTTTATCTTGCAGCTGTGCTCTAACGTGTGCACATCGGTAAAAGCATAGAAAAGCTGCCAGTTCTACAGAATATAACAGATTTACAAGAAAGAACAAATGTTACCTATGAAAAGGTCCACCACAGATGAACTTTAGCAATATGGAGAAATTCTTTTGATGTGGGAGAGATTTTAAGGGGAACACTGGTGTCTCTAACGTTGAGTATGTAGACTTAATTTTTCACTCATCTATTTTTTGCTTAATTATGTTCAGAACATTTCCTGAGCATCATAAAAATGTGATGTAGTCATAAATATTTCCTAGTCATTTGTCAACTAACGTTCACATGCTTGACTTGGACCAGCTTTTCATAAGTATCATGCCCAGGAGAGCAAAGTAGAATGGGCAGAAAGAGTACAAAGTTACCTCTGTATATATCATGTTTTACGTATGCCTTCTTTTGCAAGCAAGATTTATACTTCAACATAAAAAAACCACTCTATGCTATGTGTTATAGTGCAGCACAGGATGATGTAGCACATTGTATCTGTTAGTCAATTAATTAAAAAAATACAATACTGCACATGTTAATATAAATGCTAATTAAAAATAATGGATTTCTGTTCATATTTTAATTTTAAAAGTAGCTGCAGCAGTGATGGGTCTGTTGGTAATATCCATAATGCTGTTAAAAGTACACTTGGGTGTGGACTTCTCTTCCTAATCTCTGGGCATTTCCTCCAGTGAGTAGGGTTGAAATCAGATCTGGAATAATACTTGAAACTTGTTAACAAAACTTTCTGTCTACCTTTTATTATTACTAACAATGTTCTGTTGCATCTGTATTCATATTTTATGTTTAGAAAGATTGATTTTTTTAATGGTTACTATATCTTCTCAGGACAGCCATTCCCAGCTGTTTGGTCTCAATTTCAACTCTGGCTGTGCATGTAAGCAAATTGCATGTATTTGTGGAAAGAGAGCCTTTGCACATTACATGTAGAAATGTGATTTGCGTTCTCACTCAGTACTTTCCATGCTCCACATTGGCTTTTAGCATAGGCTTGTCACTATGCTAATGTTCAAGTCCCAAATGTGCTGAATTTTTGTGGAGTAAGAATAACGTCTACAACCCTATGTACAACTTCTCTTGCACCTGCACAAGCTGTTGGGACATATGTGACACATTATGTGACATGTTAAAAATCTACAACATTCTCAAGTACTTGACATCCAAACTACCTGTATAGTAGAGGTTCCTTATATACCTTTTATGTACCCCTCTCTTCCCCCCTCCCCAATAGAGAATAAATATGCCTTTCTATGCATAGGGGGTTGAAGTAGTGCAATGGAATGAGAAGTTTTTTGTGATTATATTGTACTTGGAAGAGCTGAGAGATTAACTTGCAAATGGGGAGGGTGAATAAATCCTGATCTTTATATGCTCTTAAGTAACTAAGAGCATCTGTCATGGGTATTACATACTCTTATACATTAGTCCTTTTAAAATGTATGGTTGCCAGGTGATATTTAGATAATGTGATAACTGTATAAACTATACTTGGTGTAATTGTTTAAATACTGTAAAGGTGCACCATATTTTTAACCTGTCTAAAGCATACCCCCACCCTCTTTATAAGAGACATTTGGGAGCTGAGCATGGAACCTTGTAGAATAGATGTTGTGAAAACAAGGGTGATTATGATAGGGTTTAATGTAGTGGTGAATAAGATACAGTCTCCTTCTGTGAGAAGGTTCTTTTATAAAGAAGGTGGAATGCAGTTCTTCCAATTCTTTTTGTGATTTCCTGGATTAAAAAGTTATTAAAAAAATTACCCACTGAAGCTGTCTGTTTCCATTTAATCTGTGCTGTTCAATCTCTCCTCACCACAAACTGTGCATAGATGATATTGTACACATCACCTTCTAATGTTCAGTTGTATTGCTGTGATCACTGTCATTCTAAAACTGCTGACCGTATTAGAATAAGGTTTAACAGCAGGCTACAGAAAATGAATATTGCAGTATTAAAAGCCAGTCTAGATAGTCTAGTTTATATGTACACATGAAAAGATTCTGAATGGCTACTACAGATGGAGAAGTTAAGTCTGCTGTAGAAAGTTGCATACTTACCAACTTGGAAAAACTTTTATTCATACCAGACTTCATTTGACTATTTGGTGAAAATAGTAAAGCCAGTCAAACTTGTTATAGTTTCAAGTTTTTATGAGTTAGGATCTTAGCATTTCTGAATTCTTACAGTTCTCACACTAAGATGGAAATTGAAATCCTTTAATGTTGTAGCTAATCCTTACTGCTGTTTTTAAGCCAGCTGTCAGTCATTCTTCAAACTAAATTGAAAAAACATTAAAACCCAAACTTTAAGCAATATAAAGTGAAAGTATAATCCTGCTCTGTGAGCTGTAAGAACAAGGGACTTGTAGACATTCAGACCTGTAACTGCTTTGGATGTTCTACCAGCATTGGTGGGTTTAAGTACTGTGTACTCTATTTTAGCATAGACTGTCTTGTATCTAACACAATTTAAAAGGAAGCAGTCCATTTTTGGTCTTTCCAGAGTGAAGTCCTGTCACTTGAACAGCTGTAGCATCATGCAAGCAGCTGTGCTTTACTGCTTATCCATTGTGGAGGGAGTACCTTGTGAAGTGGAATGAAAGAAAAGAGCAGCATTAAATTTTAGGTTTTACAGTGTTCACATCTGTCCACGAAGCACTTACAGTCATTGTTACTCTTGGTCATCCTTACTGTGGGTTGGACTTCAGTCAGTGAGTGGGTAGCTTCCATTACAGTTCTCTGAGCCATCTAGGCCTCAGTAATTTACACCTAAGGTGAGATCGTGCTCCCCTTAAAGTCAATGAGGTTGTCTTTGGCTATGAGTAATAAATAGTGAGATGGCTATACTAGTAAAAACACACACTGTAACTGTTAGTGCAGTAGTTTTCAACTTTTAAATGGAGGCTTTAGTTTAGATGGCTTAAACTAGTCCTTTTGAATTTTTTTCTTTTTGAAGTGGGAATTGGAGGAGTTCGCTCTGTGAGAAGAGGATCACCACCAAACCACAATCAAATCTTTTATTTATGCTTCCTGACAAAACTTTTCTGGAAAGAGGTGTTATTTCATGCTGTCTGTCCTCTTGGGGGTGTGTGGGGGGGTGGAATATGCAGCACAGGGACTGTTTGCTTATTCCCTGCTTTCAGTATCGTTGTATTTTAGCAGTTCAGAGCATGTGTCTGGGTAGTTTCCCCACTTTTTTTGCCTGAGTTATTTTCCCGCCTTTTTTGTCTGACAGCCTTTCTGTATCAAGTTTGGGAACAGAGGCCCCAATTACAATGTCAGGGACCAGCTTCTGAAGAAAACTAATTAAGTTATTTCCTTTGGCAATGCCTAATATGCAAAGATTATTTCTAAATCTATATTTCAGATCATCTTGTTTTTTGTTTTTTTTTATGGTTGGCTGCTTTGACTTTCAATGAGGTAATTTCATCCCTAAGCTCATTAGTTGCTATAGCATTTTTTGTAATTCATTTTCTAAGGGCGCCATACGAGATTTAACATCATACATTTCCAGAAAGGCCATGAATGTTTTTTGAAATTTTAATCTCCCAGTCAGCTATTCCTTTCAATGTTGATGTTACAACTGCTTGGATGGGTTAAGTGACTCCATTGGCTTGGGTCTCGTCACCTTTCTCTCCCCTTTAATTGTTTACATTTTATCCAGACAATTCATTCTAGCTTTTTAACAAACTGTGTGAATTTATTAGAATATTTCAAATGTTTTGATAAGTGAGATCAGGCCAGACAACCATCTTGCTGCAAACTGTTTTTCTACCTCGGGTGGGGGGGAGGAAGCAAATATAAGCAACAAAATTAACATTGGTTAATTGACTGGATTTTATAAAATGACTGAAAGGAAAGTAGGTTTCTGCTAACAAACTGACTGCATCTTCCTGCCCAACCAGCTCCCTGTATTAAAAATTCTACATACTAACTGTAGTGGATATAAGTATTAAATGCTTGTTTAAAACACAAATCTAAATCTTCAAGTTTTAGTACAACAGTAACCGCATATTTGACCCTGATTGGTGTTTAATTCCCTTAAACTTCTCCTTGCCATTTTAGCTACCTATGAGTAGTTGATTGCTTCTGAAGAAAACCAGTGCCCTGCAACCTGGTTCTGCTATATGGTGGTAGGGTCGCTTCAAAGAACTGATGCTAGCTTGCTCTTACTACCAATGAGCAAAACCGGGCCCATGCCTTCTTTTGAAATCCTGTTACTACCAATTAGCTAACATTGTGGGTGAGGGGGAAAGGTGGAAGGAATACCTCAGTCTCATGAACTACCATCTTACTGCGTTTCTGATGCAGACACTATAGCTATAACACAGTCCAAAGATATTTCTAATCAAATATGAAGTGAAATATAGAAAGGCTTTCATATCCAGTTTTACACACTACAGTAGAATCCCCAAGTTATGAAATCAGTGTTATGAACTGACCAGTCAACCACACACCTCATTTTGAACCGGAAGCATACAATCAGGTAGCAGCAGAGACCCCCTCAAAAAAGGAAATGCAGTTCAGTACTGTGTTAAATGAAAACTACTAAAAACAAGGGGGAAGGGATTGACAAAGTAAGGAAACTTTCGGTGCTTGTTTCATTTAAATTAAGATGGTTAAAAGCAACATTTTTCTTCTGCATAGTAAAGTTTCAAAGCTGTATTAAGTCAATGTTCAATTGTAAACTTTTGAAAGCACAACCATAATGTTTTGTTCAGAGTTATGAACATTTCAGAGTTATGAAGATTCTCCATTCCTGAGGTGTTCGGAACTGAGGTTCTATTGTGCTTTTCAAGGTTTTAGATTCATAATCTCTTGATACTTTTTTCCACATAATTGTTAAATTACTTCCCTCTTCCTGTTAGCAGCTTTTAACCTACTGTACCTAAGAAGAGTTCTATATAAATAAGAACATTAATTACAACTGCAAACTGATGAGCTTGTTTTAAAAGTAAAATGGGTGACAGGGGACAGGTTTAAATGCAATAGTTGAGTGCATTTTTGAACCCTGGCCTTTCTTTAAAATATAGGACTTTAATGCACTTTTAAAAGAAATTCTTACAAAAGCATTATTAATTTTTTTTTCTGTCTTGCCTACCTGCGCTGTATGCTGTTAGTTTGCTCAGCTGAGTGAGAGTTTGGATGCTTCTGGTGTTTTGTGTCTAGTCTAATACACTTTCAGATACCATGCTGATGGGTGCGGCATAAGCATATGAATAGAACAGGCAGCTTTGCAAAGCAGACATGTATGCTTTTAGAATAGGCTAGCTGTAGCTATGTCAGAGGTAATCTACCATAATGGTCTGGAAGCTAGTTTTTGGGGCAGGCACCTTTGTTTTAGCCCGCCTCTGCCACTTCCTTGTCCTTGCTGTGCCTCGGTTTCCTCATTTACAAAGTGGAGTAACATCTGTCTAAGTGAGCTGTCAAAGACTAATTTTTTTTAGAGTTGGTAAGAGGAAGGGCCAAGTTATGTATATCGTACACAAACTCTTCAGTCTGTGTTCCATGTAGACTTTTGTCTTTTACTAATCCTAGTTCATAGGTACAGCGGAGAACACTATACAACTTTCCTCCACCAGCAACATGCATACTTTTCTAGTTAAGTGCTACCCCTGTGATGTTCAAATAGTTTTTCAACAGAAACATGTGGGAATGTTGCCTGAGGGAAATCCTACAGTCCAATAACAGTGGGTTTGGTTTTTAGTAGGAAAGCAAAGATGCAGCCATTCTTTTGAAACCAAGTTTAATATAAGAATCTGTATATTGTGGAACTGTTTCCTATTCTAGCTTTTTTTTTCTATATCCCACTGTAATAGGGTGTCTGGCAATTCTAAAGTTTGCAGCAGCAGCTACAGCTAGTCTGAAAATAAATATATATTTAAACTTGTATCACAATCTTCAAGAAAGGGAAAGTCTAGTATGTATACTGTCCATGCTGGAGACCTGCCCTGCATCCCACCCGAGTCTGTTCCCAGGCGGTTAGTGGCTGTGTACAGGGGTGGCTCTATGTATTTTGCCACCCCAAGCACGGCAGTCAGGTAGGTTTTGGCGGCATGCCTGCGGGAGGTCTGCTGCTAACACAGATTCGGCGGCATGCCTGTGGGAGGTCCACCGGTCCCCCGCCTTTGGTGTACCCGCCGCCGAATTGCCGCCGAAACCGCGGGACTGGCGGACCTCCCGCAGGCATGCCGTCGAAGGCCGCCTGACTTTCGCCCTCATGGTGACCGGCAGGCCGCCCCCCGCGGCTTGCCGCCACAAGCACGCGCTTGGTGTGCTGGTGCCTGGAGCTGCCCCTGGCTGTGTACCATTGTAGGAGGTATTATGGAGGTAGCACATGCCCTCAATAAACATGAGGGGTATATTTTATACAGCAAGATGCAAGTGTGACACTTTCCCTCTTTGCTAGCTGTGGTGAAAGGCTTAGGAGAAGGCAGACTGTCTACTCTTTGGCTACAAGGATAGCTAGGACAGGAAGTCAGTGTGGAGAATGTGGGCAATAACCTCATCTTAAGTAATGTAACTGGATAAACAAGATGTAAGGATATAAATCCTCTTGCATCAGGGCATTAACTCAAGGGGGCTGGGGAAAAGCTTCTGTGATGAGCACATTATGCAAGTATGATTCATCATAATAGTTCTTGCTGATTTCTCTACAGGCTCTGGTCCTGTTGAAGACATGATACTAGCATAGATATTCATAGATTCCAAGGTCAGAAGGGACCATTGTGATCATCTAGTCTGACCTCCTGTATCACACAGGCCATAG